ACATGGGATGTTGGGCTGCACAATCCCAGCTGTTCCTTAGGGAGGGGAGCAGCAGCACCAGTGCCTGGAGGGAGCAGCTCCGCAGGGAAGTGGTATCTGAGGGGAGCAGCGCTGTAAAACATGGAACCTGGAGGAAATGGCTGCACTGCAGCAGCATTGCCTGCAGGGAAGGCAGCAGCAGGGGGAGGCAGCACCTGGAGGCGGCAGCAGCGCAGAACATGGCACCTGCAGGACGTGGCACCCCGGGGGACCCGTACCTGGAGGCAGCAGCGCTGTGGGGGATGGCGCTTCCTGGGAATGGCGCTGCGGGAAATGGCACCTGGAGGGAACAGCGCCACGGGAGAGTTGTGCCTTTGGAGGCACACCGTGGGGGACACTCCTGTGGGGACACTCCCGTGGGGGACACACCTGTGGGGACACACCTCTGGGGACACACCTGTGGGGAGTGGCGCTGTGGGAGAGTGGCACCTGTGGAGAACATTGGCACGGCAGGATGGGGCCTGCCAGCAGCTCTGCCATGGGCAGCGGGAATTCCTGGGAATGGCTCCTGGAGGAGAATGGCACCAGGAATGGTGGAATAGGGAATGGTGCCGACTGCCAGGAGCTGTGGAGCAAGAAGGGAGCTCTTGTTGCACAGGGAGCGGGGACAGTGCTGCTGGGAGGTGACGTCATGGGAGGCCACCTCCGTCAGGGACATCCCAAGGGGTCTGCAGAGCCATGAGGGCTTGGAATGGAATGGGAGAACATTTCCAGGTGTCCACAGCACAGTGGCCAAGCTGCCTCTCCTGGGAACACTGCCCCTTTCCCTGGCTGAGGACACACCTTTGGAGTCCCTGGCACCCCAGGGTGCAGTGTGGGCTCCGTCCCTCTGTCCCCAGGGCCAGCACAGGTCAGGGTTTTGGGGCTCTGCTTTCAGGGCAGCTGGCTGCAATGAGCTCTCCACAGGGAGGGAAGAAGGCTCTTTCTGATCCCAGCTCTGGGAAAGCATCTGGTTTTCCTCCCAGCTGCTCTCCCCACATTCCCATTCCCCATTTCCTCACGCTGCTGATCCTCTCCAGTCCCTGCTGGCATGCTGTGCTTCCCTCCTCCCCTTTCCTGGACTTCTCTGCATCCTTTGCTGTACTCTGCTGTGTCACAGCCCCACTGCCTCCCCTCCCAGAGCTGCTCCAGCACTTCCCTTCCCTTCCAAGACTGCATCATCCATCCCTGCTCTCCCTGCACTGATGCGAGACATGGGATCAGGCTGGGGATGTTGCAGAAGGTGGCAATAAAGAACATGCTTGGGGCTGGCTCTCAGCCTCTGCTTGGAGCTCCCAGGCGTGCAGAGGGTGAAGGAACCTCTGCCCGTCTCCTGCAGGAGATGGAAGTGCTGCTGGCTGAGGCTGCAGCTTTTGTCTTGCTCCCAAAGTGCCCCAGGGCTTTGCTGGGATCCCCCAGAAAGGTTTTGGAGGAGCACAGCTCCTGCTCTGGGTGGGGAGAGAGTGAGACAGGAATAATTAGCAGCAGCACCAATTTGTGCCTCTTCCCAGAGGAGCCAACCTGGCATCTCTGAGGGAGTCCTGGTGTAAAACCCCAGCCGTGACCCCAAGAAACCAAAGGGATCCAGCTTTTACAGCTCTGGATTCATCCCTAAGGAGAAGAGTGCCCCGAGGCAGCTGACAAGGGGATGCCAGAGAGAGGCAAAGCTGCAGGAAGGGGGGAGCCAGGAGGATGTGAGGGTTGTGAATGCCCAAGCAAGCACTTCCCTGCCTGGGAAGCACAGTCTGGTGGCCTGGAATAACCAGGATGGGGCCAAAGCTCGGGAAAACACGGCAGCTGCACAAAGCTTTACTTGGCGTGGCCAGGACACCTTGATACCGGAGAGGGCGTGGCCGTCCTCTTCAACCCCTGGGAATGTTGTCACATTCCAGGGCTTCAGAGGCACAAAAGTGCATTTTTGGTGGAGGAGGGATCCGAGATCCAGAGTACCCTTTGTGCACCCCGAGGCGTGGGCCTGCGTCCTCGCCACCCCACAAAATTGGGGAAAATTCCCATCAAAGAGGGATTTGTGCTTGGTGGCACATCAGAGTCCCTGAGCCACCAGCATGTGCTGGGAATTAGGCCATGGGGTCGTGTTTTCCCTCAGTCCCAGCTATTCAGGAATTCCACCCTGCCCTGTTCCGGGCTCATGGCACAGAATCCGCTCCTCCAAGTGAGGGGACAATGCTAGAAAAAGGCTTCAGTGCCAGGAGCAGACAATGGGAAAAGCAGAATAAAAAACCCTGAACACAGCGTTCCTGCTTGATCCTGCCATTCCCAAGCTGCTGCTGGCATGAGGAAATCTCCGTAGCTTTGTTCCCTGCAGAGGTGGATTTTATTTCAGCCCTGCCAGTCCCCTCTGTGGGCTCGGCAAAGCTCCTTCTGCCCCAGGAAGAGGGGATGGCTCCCATCCACTCCCCTGGGAGCACAGAGTGCCAGGGCCCTCCTGGAAGAGGAAAGGATGTCCAGGAGGAAAGTTGGTGAGGAAAGGATGGCAATAATTCCTGTTGGACAGAAGGGAAAGACCACAAAGTGGCAGAGCCATTGTGTGGCCACTGGAGCATCCTGTGGTCCTGAGAGGAAAACCTGACAGATCCTCCTGGATTCAGATTGCATTTTCTGCTTCCACTTGCCTGGAGAGGGGATGAAAACAGAGCTGTTGTGCCTCTGCTTTTGTATGTGACACGGGAGAGAGGACGGAGGCGATTCCCTGGGAAGCAGGGCCAGCCCCACGGCCGTGTCCTGCCAAGCTGTGCCCTCATGCTGCCCGTGTCCTGTGCTGCTTTTGTGCTGCTGTTTTTTGTCCCCGCAACGCGAGCATGGCTGTCCCCCGCACCGTGAGGAGCATCCCGCTGTGATGTGTCGTGTGTGTATCCATGCGTGTATCCATGCGTGTATCCATGTCTGTGTCCCTCTGTGTGTGCACAGCCACAACCCTCAGCTTCTGGTGGCACCACCCTGGCGGTTTCCAGCGTCCCCATGTGAGTCCCGCGACTCCAGGGAGGATTGGGATCAGGATAAAGCTGGAGCGAGGAGTGAGGGAGGAGCAGCGGTGGCCGAGCTGCCTCCGGGAGGCTGGAGCAGGGCCAGGAGGGGCTGAGGAGGGGACCAGGGGGACAGGGGGTGTCAGAGGCTGAAGGGGGTGTGGAGGCCGGGGCTGTGCACTGATGTGACGCTGTCGTCCTTTTTCTGCCCCTCATCAGAGTCCCCCGAGCGGAGCAGGCTGTGAAGGGGGGCTGCCATCAGGTATGTCCATGTGGCTCCCACCAGCATATCCCAGTTTCCAAGGGGAGCTCCTGTGGGCACCAGGGATGGAATGTGGGAGCAGGCCCCAGGGGGAAACTGGCCTGCCTTTGGGGACAGTCACTGGGGGCTGTTTTAGGGCAAGACGCGCTCACACAATGCTTGGCTGCTGACCTTGCCCCTTCATCCATGCCGGTGTCAAGCATTCCCAGCATTGCCTGGAGCCTCCTCCTGCATCCTGTGTGTGAAAGCTGTGCCAGGGTGACCCGGGTGTGTAGCAGTCCCGAACGGGGAGTGTTGGCCAGGGCAGAAACCCCACCGTGGTGCTCTGGTTTGCTTCTTCCCAGGGCTCAGGGAGTGCCTGTGGGTCTGCCCTGATTTTGGGATGAGGGAATCGTGCGGACCAGTGTGTGTCCAGTGGGAAGGGGGTGCCCCACATGTCTCAGGTCCCCAAAGCTCCTGAGCATCTCCCTGCATCAGTGGAGAGAGCTCCACAGTGGTTGAGACACAGAGAGGATTTTTGGGAACCACAGGGATATCTGGAAGTCCGAGCAGCCCCAAGGTCATGAACATCCCCTGCTTCCACCCCAGCATCAGCACCAGGCTGGGTCTGCTTGTGGCAGCAGGCAGTGACGTGTCCCAGGACACCGTGTGGTGTCCAAACTGGGACAGGAATCAAGGAATGGCTCGTGACTGGGATGGCTCTTGGAGGGACACTCAGCTCTGCATGGAAGTGCCAAATTCCGGCCTCAGAAGCCTTGTGGCAGGTGCTGCCTGTGCCAAAGACACCTGGCCAAGGCTCAGGGACACCTGGGGCAGGGGGTGGCTGGTGTGTGAGGACACCAGTCTGGACTGGTGTAACTGGTGCTCAGAGTCCTGGCTGAGCTGTGGTGCCCTCGGGTGCTGGGCTCCCTCAGGGCCAGGGGTTTGGTGCACAGGGCACCCCGGCATCTCCACAGGCCACCCCACGGCATCTCCAGCCTCTCTGGGGGTGGGCATGGCTTTGCCTCTGTGTGCTTGGGGATTTCAGGCTCCACAAGAGACCAGGACTTCTGGCTGGGTTTGTGGCTCCCACTGAGGGGGCCAGGGGAGGCTGGGATGTGGCCTGGAATGCCTGGTGGGAGCAGGGCAGGGATGCCCAAGGATGCTGCCCAGGACACATGGCTGTGCCTCAGGGCGGAGCCCAGGGCAGTTCTGGCTCTGCACAGTGAAGCCATGGGTGGTGCCCAGTGGGAATTCCAGGTGCTACCTAAACTTCTGGGATCACAAGCCTGGTGTGGCAGCCTGTGTCTTGCTGTGCAGACCCAAGCTGTGGAGCTTCCCTGTGCGATCCTGGTCTCCAAAGGGGCTTGGGGAGCTCTGCTCTGTGCTCTGCCTCCTGTTTCTCTGTGCCTCTGGTTTCCCTCCCAGCTCTGCTTTGCTCCCTGGCTCTCTGTGGGTCCGGCTCCTGGGGTGTCCATGAGTCCAGCTCCCAGGGTGTCTGTGGGTCCAGCTCCCAGAGCATCCATGAGTCCAGCTCACAGGGTGTCCATGGGTCCAGCTCACGGTGTGTCCGTGGGTCCGGCTCCTGGGATGTCTGTGGGTCCGGCTCCCCAGATGTCCGTGGGTCCAGCTGTCCCTGCCAGCGTGGGTAGGACAGACTGTCCAGGTCCAGTGCCTGCCGCTCACCCCTGCGCTCCATGCCTGCATCCCCAGGCAGCGTTCCCGGGGGTGACACCGCTGTCCCTTGTTCCCCGCAGATCTCCGGCCTCTGCCCGACGTAGCCATGACTGGGACCTGCACCCGGGAGTGCACAGAGTTCGGCCACTCCGACACCTGCTGGATGCCCGGACAGTCCTCCCCCAGCCGCAGGCCCAAGAACGCCCTCAAACTCTCCACTTTTGTGCCTTACCAAGACAGAGGGAGTCAAGAGCAAGTCGGGAACGGCAGCCCCAGACTGTCGGAAGAGCGCAGCACCAAAATGGCCAACCTCCGCCTGCTCCCCACGTACAGTGCCTTCTCCAATAGTAGCCATGAGCCCTGCAAGGACTCTCCCATGGAGGAAATTCCTCTCACCCAGACCTCGGACTTCCAGCCAGCCACCACCCCGTCGGCCCAGACCACCAAGAGGGAGATCTACCTGTGAGGCTGGGCGTGGGGGGCAGGGAGCAGAGGCCAGAGGAACATTTTCCACTTCGATGATGCTTTATGGCTCCGGCCGCTTCTCCAGGCAGGGCGCTCTGCGGGGAGCAGGGCAGGGCGAGGCAGGGGTGAGAGGAGCGCCTTTTTAACCCCTTGTTGCCAGGGGCTGGGGGTGGGTGGGGAGGATGAAAAGCATCCCAACCCCGATTGCCGAGCATCCCGAACTGCTGCCGGGGAGGGCTAGGCAGGCTCCTGGTGCGGAGGGCACGGAGAAGGGAGAGAAGGGCTTACGTACCAAAGGTCCACGCAGAGCCGGTGGAGTTCCTGGGGCATAGGATGAGGAGTGTCCCCGAGCACGGGGAGCCAGCTGCCTGTCTCTCTGCTGTAGACTCCTGTAAATACGAATCTTATAGGAATGACATTCAAGTCCTGCCTGATCGCAACTTTTTATTGTCCTTGAAACAACAACAACAACAACAACAACAACAAAAAAGACGTTTAAAGAGAAAACAAAAAGGAAAAAAAAAAGCAGAAAAAAAAGAGGAAAACAAAAAAAAAACAAACAAAAAAAAAAAGAGAGAGAAAAATATAACAAACCACAGGGAGCAAGTTCCAGCTTTGAATGGTTTCCTGCGTGGAAGAGCCCCTGGGAGCGCAGCGTCCGGCCCGCACTCGTGTTCTATATTGTAAATAGAGATGTGATCAGTCCCTGAAACAGCAGCTGGGGAGCTGGAGGAGAGGGGCAGCATCCTGGCCGGACTGTAGGGACTTCGCTATTTTTCAGCCTGGATCTCTTTCTGAACGTTGTCACTGTGCCCACAAGCTGCAGGGTCCCTAGGGACTGCCCGGTGCCATAGGTGGGGGCTGCTTTGGGGGTGTGTGAGGGGGTCCCCGGGGGTGGCCCTGTGCCTGGCGGGTGGAGGAAAGGCGGGGAAGCCCCCAGTTAAGGGACCGGCTGGGTCCGGGGAGGGGATGTCCCCAGGAAGGGACCGGCTGGGTCCGGAGAAGCCCTCAGTCCGCCTCTGCTGGCAGGGAGGTCGCCAGCGGCTCCGGCTCTCGGCCCATCGCCTCGGGCCTCCTCCGGGGCAGGGGATGCCCACGAGGCCAGGCTGTGCCGCGCCCTCGACCTCCGTCCCATCCGCCTGTAAAGCCACCATTGCCTTTGTGAGGAGGAGCTTTGTCTCAGGGTCACAGCGGGGGCCGCCGAGCCCCTGCCCGCTGGACTCCCGCTGCCCTTAGGCCACAGGGCCACTCTCACGGGGTCCAGCTTTCTCTTCCATTGTCAAAGGTCCGCCGGTGTCCCCGGCAGGTCCCCGCTGCCCCGGCGTCCTCAGCTCCCGTGCAGGGGGGAGAGGAGCCCCTGCCCCTCACAGGGCTCCCCCGAGGGGGACCCCTGGCTCTGTCGCTGCTCCCTCGGCAGCTGGGGCGCAGTCCTGGCTTTGGGCAGGAGGGGCCCGCCTCATGCCTGGGGAGCTTTTCCCAGTCCTCGCCCGCCGGGCCGCGGGAGGGGCCGTGCTGCACCCTTGTGCTTCCCGTCTCCAGCTCTGGCATCTTCCCGAGGGAGCGAGGCCGCCAGGACGGCTCTCCGCTGGCCACGGTCCCGTCCTCGCACCGCGCCGTCGGTCCCCGCGGGGCTCTGCCGGGTTCCGGGGGCACAGGGACCCCGCAGCGCCAGGCCATAGCTGTAGTGCCTGTGGGGACCCCCTGCCCGGCCCCCTCCAGCACCCCGCTCTGAGCAGCTCCTCTCCCTGTGCCGGGGCGGTGGCAGGACGCGGCGGCTGCCCGAGGGGTACGCGGTGCCGGCCCGGCCCGGGCCACAAAGGAAGAGC